AACACATACATACACATACATATACACACACCTGCACACATAAACACACATACACACATATACACACATAAACATATACATATAAACACATGCATAAACACACGCGCACGCACACATAAACACACATACACACAAAAACACACATACACATATACACACACATACACACATATACACACATAAACATATACATATAAACACATACACACATGCATAAACACACGCGCGCACACATAAACACACATACACACAAACATACACACATATACACACACATAAACATACACACATATACATATAAACACACACACACACACACACACACACACCCTGCTCTCACTGTCTTTTTTCCTGAATTGTTTCTCCTTTTAAGCATGTGACATACACACATATACATATAAACACACACACACACACCCTGCTCTCGCTGTCTTTTTTCCTGAATCGTTTCTCCTTTTAAGCACGTAACAGGGTCACAGGGTCACACTTCCCCACCCACTCCTAGCTAGACGTGGCCACGGGGCTGGCTTTGGCCGATGACGGGAGAACAGAAAGGATGCATGTCCCTTCCGAGGGAAAGTGTTAGGAGCCAGTGTGTGGCTCCCGCGCCCTCTGTCCCTTCGCCACAGTGGCCAGCAGAGCCCAGGGGAGGATCCCTCACCCCGCGTGGGTCAGGGAGGATGACCTGGAGCAGGCCCCGCTGACCAGCAGGGAGCAGGTAGCACGGGTGAAAGGCACAGTCCGTAGCTTAAGCCACTGACTCTGGGGCTGTCTAATCCTCGAAGCATACCTCACCCACCCAGGCTGATGCGGCCATAATTTTTAAAGTGGCACAAATAGGAAACAGAATCTTCCCTGAGCAACGAGGCCCTTCCTTCGTCAGCCCCCTGGCCTTGGCATGGCAGGTCCATGGTCTACCTAGTTCCACATCTGCCTCGTGCTCTGTGCCAGTTACCACTGTTGTCAGAGGGGGTGGCTGACCCAGAGCTGCCCGAGAGCCCGGTGCGGTGTGGAGGGAGCGGTCTTCGGGGACCTGGGAGTTGGGAAACATCTGGCGGGCATCCTGCTTTCATCAGCTTCCCTGCCTCGGGCCCTGGGGGCCGCGGCGAAGACCAAACGCAGGGTCAGGTGCAGGATGAACCTGGGACAGGGGACCCCCGAGGGTACACGGTGATCCTTGCTGCGGTGGGCACAGGGCCAGTGGTCCCCAGCTGCCCGACAGGGGTGGAGGTGGCAGCCTGGAAGCCAAGCCTCTCTGCTTGGTTAATCTAAAAATAAACAGATAGGCAACAAAAATCTATGTTTCAATTACTGCGCACAAGCTGTTCAAACAGCCAGCTCTGCACTGGAGATGTGAGCTTGTCAAAGAGGCGGCCTCGTTTGCATGCTTGGGTGGTGATGAAACACACAACCTCGCAACAGGCTGCCCTCTGGCCTGGGTGGGTTGTGGTTGTTTTTTAATTAAATTAAATTAAAAACACGGATATAGAATAAAGACAGTGAAAATCCAAAGCAAGTACATCAAGATAAGGCAGCAGCTCCCACAACAAAGGCCGAGGAGCCCTGGGGAATGAGACGAGCCTGGCCCTCGGTAGAGGGGTCAGCAGGAGAGTGGCCAGAACGAGGGGTTAGTGGCCAGAATTAGGGGACAGAAATCTCTCCCAAGTGGCCCGATATATTCCTCCCCGCCCCTGCTGAGCCCAGAGGAAGCCCCAGTGAGCAGGTGTCGAAGCAAAGGCCTCTGTGGCACCCCTCTTACTTGTAGGTATTGGGGGCACACAAACACACACACACACACACACACACACACACACTGTGGCAGCTCATCAGGCCCCGTGCACGGCGGCCACGGCCACGCTGCCTTCACTCTGACGCCCACATTCCTGCCCTCACTGCCCCACCTCAGGAGCAGCCTGTTCTCTGAAATGAATGAGCCCCAGGAAGCTGGGCCACCCTGCCTCCAGGGCCACCTGATAGCTCCCTCGGGCTCCAGGCCGGACTGGCCAGTCCTCCCCTGAGCCCTGGTTTGCTCTGCTGTGTCCTGGCTGTGCCTTGTCCTCCTGAGCAGCCCCCACCCCACAGGCAGGAGCCATCCTTGCCTGCTTCAGGGCCTCGCTCAGAGCCTGCATAAGGGACAAGGGGTGTGCAGTGAACTTGGTGTGATTTAAAGGGGAAAGGGCAGGGCGTGTATTAAGGAGGAAAGGGCAGGCCTAGCGGTTTGCTTGGAGGGAAAGGCGGGCACAGAGTCCTGCTCCCTGGAAGTGGAGCCGGAAGAGGAAGGCGGCTACTTTCTGGTTTCCCGGGGATGGGCTCTGACAAGCAGGAGCCCCCCAGACCCCACCGAGATGCAGACGAAGGCAGCCTGCTCCCACTAACACTGGTGACATTTCCACAAACCCCAGACCTCGGAGCAATTCTGCAGCCATCAGGTCACGTTCAGCGGTTCTCAACCTGTGGGGTCGCGACCCCATTTTGGGGGTCGAACGACCTTTTCACAGGGGTCGCCTAAATACATCCTGCATATCAGATATTTACATGACGATTCATAACAGTAGCAAAATGACAGTTATGAAGTAGCAACGAAAATAATTTTATGGTTGGGGGTCACCACAACATGAGGAGCTGTATTAAAGGGTCGCGGCATTAGGAAGGTTGAGAACCACTGCTCTAAATAAAAGCGTCTCTCCCAAGGAAGCTAATACCCTGTCCTGGGCAGTGTGATCCGCCGCCATGTGACGGCCCTTCCCTGATGTTTCCAACTGGATTTCGAATAGACTCTTGTCTAGTAGAAGGCAAATTGCGAGAGCATTTTTTGGGGGGCAGTTAAATAGAGAGCGAGCATCAGTCTTTTTTCTTTGCAACTCTGGCCCCGGGGCTGGCTCCAGGGCTGGCTCCAGGCACCCAGTAGGGTGCATCCAGCAGCTGGGCCACTGATGAACACCCTTTGCTGTGCTGGGAGATCTCCTGGAATTAGCGGATTCTGCAAGACTCGGAATCATCGGGTGCGGGCCGCGAACGGCAGGAGGCCCACCTGGAGAGCGGGGAGTAGCAGCTCCCCGTCCTGCCATCGTGTGTCTGTAGGACCGTGAGAAGGCAGGCTCCAAATTGTCATGTTTCCATTCTCCGTGGAGCCACCCAGAGCAAGGAGTCTGAAGGAGCAAAAGTGGTGACTCATAATGATAACTCTGGTTAGTCCTCCTCCGAGCCATCCACCCGGACCCGCCCTCCGTAGCGGCCTCGTCGATCCTGGTGTCCCCGAGCCCCTAATTGATACACGCCTCCCTATGCTGATGCTAGGTTGCCAACTGTCATTTCCCATCTCTCTTTTATTTTTCAGTATCGCCATTACAATGATGTACACCAGTAGCAAGAGCACAAGTGCCTTGTCAATTAGTCCCACGAGGAAAGTCTCTGAGTCACGTGTGCCTTAAAAAAAAAAAATCACTCCGTCCAAACCCACAGCCCGCATGTCTCAAAGCAGAGGTGTGCCCGGGAAGGGAGGGAGACGGGAGGCTCGTCCTTCCAATCTTGTTCATCTGAAACGGGTGCTGGGTCCCACCTTCCTGAGGCAGGGAGATTGCTTTTCACACAAGGAAATTGTGCCCAGAAAAGGAATCGGTAGCTTTTCCCCTGAAACCTGTTATCAGAAAAGCGTTTTTTGAAACACTTGTCTTGTAGGTCACCTGTTAAGCCCTGTAATTATGGAATATGGCTTTCCCCCCAAATGCCTCTCCCCTCCCCCCATCCTCCACCCTCAGCCTCTCCACCCCCCGCCCCAGGGCCCTCTGAGGACCACAGAGCAGCAGGGAGCACTGACAGGGTGTAGGGCTGCCTGGGACTCAGGTCCTGCGAAAGCCCAGCCTCAGACTAACCTGCAAGGGAACCCCATCCCCACCAAGGCCACCCCACCCGCCCCCATCTTGTTAAAAATGCAAACTGTGGCTCAGTTGTCCTGGGGTGGGGCTAACAAGCACCCAGTGGCGTGAATGCAGCAAACCCCAGATCCCACTCTGGGTGGGGGGCTGGGGCCGCTCTCCCAGCCTCGGATTCCTCCTCTTCTGTTCGTGTTGTTCACTTGCACAATGTGTCAGCGCATCCCGCCTACACCGCTGGGATGCTGTGAACAGCCGTGATGTGGGGCTCTCCTACTCATCTTACTCCTGAGGACTAGGAACCTGTGGCCCTAGAAGGCCACACTGTTGTTACCGTGACCACTGCTGTCGCTTGACGGCAAGGCGCCCTCCCCGCCATGCCCTGCTGAGCGGGGTCTCGGACTTGCTGGGCTGTGTCTCCCCCAAAGCTTTGGACAGACCGAGACTGGGAAATAGATGCAGGTTCGGCTGGCGGTGAAAAGGCAGGTTCCCCGCCTTCTTCTTTTCTTTACCTTTTGCACAGCACCGTGAATTTTAATGCCCCCACCTTGGGGGAGGGAAGGTCAAACCGCCCACTTTTGGAGACATCCCAAAGGTTGCCTGGCATTTTGGTTCAGAAAGCATCTGGTCCGATCTCTCCCTGGCTTAAGATACTGGAAGGCACATAAAGTTGGCTCAGCTGCCATGGGCTGGGATGGGGCCGAAGGGGGTCAGGGAGGTAGGTGGCCTGGGACGGATGGGCGGAGCATGGGGGTGGGCTCACTTCCTGTGGCTACGGCCCCAGAGCAGTGAGCTGGTGAACGGGCAGATGAAGCCCACCCCACAGCATTGGCCCAGCCTGAGGCTCAGAAGCCACCCAGGACCACCGGCCTCTGTCCAAAGAGCTCGAGCCCAACCCTGTGCACGCCTCCCTTTAAAGATAACCCTGACACCCTAAAGCCCTCTGCCACAGAGGTCAGAGGTCACTGAGTTGTTGCATCCCTGACTCCCCTCTCCTCCCAGCCTGGAGGGCCTGGTGGGGCGTGCTTGCTGGAGTAGACCCTAGAGCTGCAGTGTCTTGGTGGGACCTGCTGGCAGCTAAGCAACAGGCCTGGGAGGACCTGCTCCAGCCTGGGCCTGCGCTGGGCCATGTCCACTCTGGCCCTGCGAGTGGGGCCTGATAGGCAGGTGGCCAGTGATGGCGGGCAGGGGGAAGCGGGGAGAATGTCACGGGAAGACGGTGGTCGCTCTGGGCTGGGCAAGGTGAGGTGGAACAGAGGGGCCCTTTCAGAGCAGAGGTGAAATGTGACAACAGAGACTGTGCAGTTCACTGGGGCCTTGTGTTTTAAGCAATGAAACTAACACTAAAACTGCATCTTAAGTCGCCCATCCTGCAGGGGGCACGGGGAGAGGCTGGCATAGCCCGTGATGGTGCCAGAGCTCCCCTGGCCCCTGAGCTGGTCCACAGGGTTTGCAGTGAGGTCTTGGGCCCAGACTGGCACGTATGCTGGATCCTACTGCCTGCACATTTACACCCACCTGGGGGTGCCACACACCTGCACCCCCTCCTGAGGAACACCTCACCCTGAGGGGGCGGTTATGCGGGGCCAGGATAGGGCAAGGTGGGCGAGGCAAAGTGAAGGAGCAGTTAGTGCAGACGGGACCCTGCCGGGGAGGCTCGCTGGCCCTGTTTCACCCCAGGCACCTCTCTCACCTTGGCCCAGTCCCCACCCTGCCACGTGCTCCCAGTTGGAAAGGGCCTGTCGCTTTCATCGGGGAGCGTTTCCTGCGCCTGACCCCGGGTGCCCAGTCAGTTACATGGAGGAAGCAGAGGGGGTCCTGTCTTTAGGGAGCCCATGGCGGATGGAACAGGCCAGTCCACCACTGGGTCCTAGGCCGGCCTGTGTGAGCTCCGACCAAGAGGGCTGGTCAGAGAGGGCTTCCCGCAGGAGGAGGCTGGCGCCCGCCGCAGCCTCAGCCAGAGCAAGTCTCCTGAGTTAGCGAGGGCTCGGTGGGGCTGGGGGTCAGTGAGAGCTGGAGGGGCCCCAGGAAGCTGAGAGGCACCCCCGGCTCCTGGCCAGGGTCTCCAGAACCACCTAGAGAATCCCTTTGTGTTACATTTGCCAAGATGGGGTTCTGGCTGGTGTTTTATTATTTTGCTCCAGAAGAAAGGCTAAAAGATGCAGAGAGGGAAATGAAAATAAGAAAGATGGGCACGGGCTGTTCCAACCGACTTGGCAGCTTGTCGCCCCCAAATGAGGCAATCATACATTTTCCATTCGGGGCTGGACGGGCCGCAGGGCTCCCCGTCTGCAGGCAGCGCGGGCTCCCTACCTTCCCGTGGATTAATCATGCCTCCGGGCCCTCACAGCCCGCACCCACTCCTCCGCACGCCTTAATGACGAGAACGGGGGAAGGGTCATTAGCCACCTGTGATCCTGGGTACGGCGTGTGCACAGGGGACGCGTCCGTAGCTGCGGGCCATGGCCAGCCTCAGCACACCCAGCGGGTCCCCGGCACAGAGCTCCTCGACAGCAGCGCCGTGCCCCAGCCCCACATGGACAATACAAATGACACTGACACATGAAACTCTTAATTATTTACTCATGAATTATTCATGTGGAGGCAAATCTGTGCGGCGAGGCTGCCGAGCTGGTATCCAGCAAGTGTCCAGGAGACGGAATCACAGAGACACAGCACGGGCACCGGGGCTGAGCCTGGTGGCGGCTGAGTCCCCTCCTCCAGGCCATCCTTGGCCCCGGTGACCCACGTCTCCCGTCAGCGTGGGCCAGAGTCCGAGAGGGCACCCTGAGCTGCAGGAGGAAGCCCATCCTTCAAAGCAGGCCCTGGGGTGCCTGATCGGAGAGCCCCAAGTCATGGGTGTTCAGCTGAGGGTGACCTTCCTCCCACCCCAGTCTGTTTCCCAGGGGCCCTGGGTGACAGAGCCCCCCACAAGGTCCCACCCCGCTAGCACAGGGGGCCTCAGGGAGTCCCTGGGGGAGGGGTGCTGGGAGCACAAAGAAGGGAGCTGGGAACCAGAGGCCGTCTGGCTTCCTTAGCGGGCCCTGGCCAGGCTGCAGCTGCTCCCAACTCGGAGCTGGCTCTGAGAAGCAGAAACCTGGCTGACTGCACAGGGGGCCCCATGCGAGATCCTGGAGGGACATGCATTTTATGACCTGGGGGGTGGGGGGGTGGTTCTGTGCAAGCTTGAGACTTCAGCCAATAAATTGGGGGTCTGCCTCCCCCGGGAGGGCCCAGCCCCCCTCCCTTCTCTGCCAACCCAGCATTCCTGGGTCGTGCAAATGACAGCGGATCCCAGAGGCCGAGCCAAGATTCACACATAAAACGCCCACATCTGGGAGGCCCTTCAGCTCTAACCCCGGACCTGCCCCTCAATGCCTCTGCCCGGGCCCTGGGCAGGCCTGCCCCACCCCTGGTTACCAGATTTCCAGACCCCGGAGCTTTCTTCACACATGTGCATGCAATTTAAACACATGCCACCCAGGGCTCTGGTTCTTTATAAACAGCCTCCCCCGCACGCACTCAGGAATGGCTGCCATCCAGACCCCCTCCCTCTCTCGGCGAAGGGCGCGGGGGGCCAGGCTCTGCCAGTCCACAGGCAGCCTGCCAGGGAAAGGTGCCCACCTGGACAAGGAAGCATTTGTACACGTTTTGTCTGTAATTGCTTGCCAGTCTCGTCTTAGACACCTCCTCCCGCCCCGTCGAGCACTTCCTGCTGCCTCCCCCATCGCCCGCGGGTGCGAGTGTGGGCACAGGGACCTTTTTGACACCGTGGCTCCGTGCCCAGCAGGGAAACGTAAGTTGCCACCTCACCCAGGGTAAACGGCGACACATTTCTTTCACACTGTCTGAAAGGGGTAATTAAGTTGAGAAACGCGGTCCAACCCAAACCTGGCATGCAAAGAGCTGACCTTTGTTTTGAATACATTTCATGAGCCTGAAACCAGACGGTGGCCTCCCGCTGCCCGAGGCTCCATCTTCTCCCCAGCGTTTCAGTGGAGACTTGAAGGGATGAGCGGAGTGGGGTGGCGGGGGTGCAGGCTGCTGGGGCTGTGAGTACAATGGAGCCACCATGTGGTCTAGCAGGTGGTCCCCAAGGCAGTGAGCTGTCAGGTTTAATCGGCGGCAAAGGTTTCACCAGGGCTAAGGAGGCCCCTTCATCAGGGCTAAGGAGGCCCCTCTGACCTGATCCCAGGCATCCTCTGCCACCTGGGGCACATCGAGGACCTGTCCTGCTCGCCTCCACCCCCACCTGCAGGAAGGAGATGGGCTCCCTTTCTCAAGGAAGCAAATAGACAACAGCCCTTTGTGGTGAGATGGAGGTGGGTGCCAGGTGTTCAGGGGATGGAGGTCTCTGGCTGCATCCGGAGGGGGCAGGGGTGTGCAGCCTCCCAGGAGAGTGGGGACCTGAGCGGAGTCATAACAGACACGCGGAATGCAGCCAGGGGAGACTGTTCCCGCAAAGGGGCGTGTGGGCTTGGATGCAGAGCTGACGGGGGTGCCTGATGGCCGGGCATCGCCCCTGGGGTAACCAGAGTGCATGGGGTGCTAGAAAAGGGAGCCAGCCAGGTCCTTTACTGATGGAGTTTAATCGGCGGCAAAGGTTTCACCAGGGCTAAGGAGGCCCCTTCATCAGGGCTAAGGAGGCCCCTCTGACCTGATCCCAGGCATCCTCTGCCACCTGGGGCACATCGAGGACCTGTCCTGCTCGCCTCCACCCCCACCTGCAGGAAGGAGATGGGCTCCCTTTCTCAAGGAAGCAAATAGACAACAGCCCTTTGTGGTGAGATGGAGGTGGGTGCCAGGTGTTCAGGGGATGGAGGTCTCTGGCTGCATCCGGAGGGGGCAGGGGAGTGCAGCCTCCCAGGAGAGTGGGGACCTGAGCAGAGTCATAACAGACACGCGGAATGCAGCCAGGGGAGGCTGTTCCTGCAAAGGAGCGTGTGGGCTTGGACGCAGAGCTGACGGGGGTGCCTGATGGCCGGGCATCGCCCCTGGGGTAACCAGAGTGCATGGGGTGCTAGAAAAGGGAGCCAGCCAGGTCCTTATACTGATGGATAGGATGGAAAGCAGGAGCCTAAAGTATCATGATCAGCCCTGGCTGGTTGCTCAGTAGTTAGAGCGCCGGCCTGCTGGCTGAAGGGTTGTGGGTTTGATTCCGGCCAAGGGCACGTACCTCGATCTCCTGCCCAGGTTGGGGCACATACAGGAGGCAACCAATTGATGTGTCTCTCTCACATCGATGTTTCTCTCTCTCTCTCTCTCTCTCTCTCTCTCTCTCTCTCTCTTTCTCCCCCTCCCTTCCACTCTTTCAAGCTTGAGACCAGGCAGCCAGGGCTGGATGTGTGGAGACGGGAGCAGGACCGTGCTTGCGGCCTGTCGGTCCAGTAGCCAGTGATCCCAAAGCCCCCCGCCAGGGCCGGGCTGGACTGGGGGGATGGGAAAGTGAGCCAGGAGCCTGTGCTGCCTCCAGGAGCTCCCCCGACAGGATGTGGCTGGAGAATGGAAAAAAGTCGAGGAAAAGCAAGTCAGGCCCAAGCCGTGACCGGGGCTGGGCACATGATGTGCAGGGCAGGTACCAACCTAACCCTCTGGTCTGTGCCCTGGCACCACCATGACCTCTGCCCTTTGCCTCGCTGTGGCCTCTTGGGCTGAGACAGCCCCTCCTGTGTCTTTGCATCCTTCCTGACTGAGGGGGACTCGGGCCCGGCTGGGCAGGGAGCCAGGCCAGTCACTGTAATGCTGAGCAAAACGCGGTCCTCCTGATGCTGCACGCCCTCGGAGGATCCTGGTGTGTCTAGGTCTCCATGACAACACGGAGGGCCGTATGTTCGGATATTCAGGAGAGTCACGTGCAAGCTGGTCTGGTTATCAGAGCCGGGGAGCACGGGGTCTCGGGTGGCGACGGTTGAGTCATAGGGTTGAAAAGGAGAACTCTTAACTCCCGGAGGCTTAGCACCTTTTCAGACCTGAGTCCTGTGTGGAGCTACAGCAGGAAGGCCAGGTCCTGGCCGCATTCTCACCTGCCCATTCTCTGACCTCCATGGATCCACTTCTTCGTAATGAGCTCCCTGGCCCATAAATTGGGGGTGACCCATCTCTCGCCAACTCACAAGCTACTGAGAGGATCAGTGAGATTCACAGAAGGGCCTTGTCCACTGTAAAGTGAGAGTGTAGACATGGCCGCTATCACCCCACACGTGGCCTGAGGCGTCCAGGGATCTTGCTTTCCTGGTGGGGACATCAGGATAAAATCCCAACCGTAGTGAAAGTGCGCACACAGAGCCGTTCAGGGCAGGGTGACAGGCAGAACACAGCCTGACTTTAAGCTGTGCCTGGGTTCGAATCCTGGCTGCCTCGCTTGTGCCACGGCGTCCTGGACAAATCACTGATCCCTCATCTGCGACGGGGGGCTAATGATCCACGCGTAGTGCGCTTGCTGGGAATGTGCAATGCGCTAGCACTGAGAGCCGTGATCGCACACAGAGAAGGTGCCTACTAGGTGCTGAAGGCGCTGCTGCCTCTGGCGCCCTCGCAGGGCTGCTGTTTGTCTAAACCGCCCTCCTCTCCTCTCTGCCCGCAGGTCCGGCCTCTGTTTCCCCGTGAGGAGCCCCCGCGGCCCACCGAGATGTCCCGGCACCACAGCCGCTTCGAAAGAGACTACCGGGTGGGCTGGGACCGCCGCGAGTGGAGTGCCAACGGGACGCATGGGACCACCAGCATCTGCAGCGCCACCA